TTTTTGCCTTGTCTATGAGATTAGAATTTAATTCAAGCCAACCATTTTTGAGTACATTAATGAAACCTAGAAATAGGATAAATTAATGAAAGTAATTTCTATATTTGTCTATGAGAAAAGAAATTATTAGTCCAATTCTAGTTTTAAATTCCCCTAATTACTAGGTCCAAGAATATATCCATTTTCAATTACTCAATTCATTGCCCTTACTTGCCTCAATCTTTTCATTAATCTTTAAAATATTTGATCTTAAATCTTTAGTTGAAATTTGCTCCTAGTATAATTGTGCAAATTGGCCTAGTCTAGAACACAATCACCTTTTTTGTATTGAAAAAGCTTCCAACAATCAGCGATAGCCCGTGACTAAGACTAAATTAAGAAAACTCTTCCGCCATTCCTCAAGAGACACGATACTCGGGGAAAAACTGAAAGGTTAGACTCCGTTTTACTACAACGTCGCGTAAGCGGTTATCATGCATCTTGTTGGTATGAGTAGTACTATTAATCCATTTAAATTAAATCTCAAGTATTATAATCACCCCCACTTAGGAACGCAACATCCTCATTACACCCATAAACCAATCTCAATCATATCCCAGAATTGTTTCCCCTGCTAAGTGCCCGCCCGATATCCAGCGGATCAGCACACTGTCGCAGGGTTGCTCTGATGCCATTTGTAACACCCCGGCTCCACAAGACCCGAGGTAGTAACTCTTAACCTCTAGTACTGTCCTCACAAACCTCCATTAGCCTTTTCTGCGCACTTTGTCCTCACTCCTGCGCGTTCTGAGAAACTTCTGAGGGGGTCACCTATCGCAAGACTACTCCTGTGCAAGCACGCTTAACTTTGGAGTTCTTGAGTGATGAGCTCCCTTAAAAGGAGATGCATCTTGTTGGTATGAGTAGTACTATTAATCCATTTAAATTAAATCTCAAGTATTACAAGAACCCCTTCGGAAAAATTACAAAAAGCAAAAAGTTAATGTCTCGAAGCATCAACAAAAGGCTTCAGTCCCAAAATGGGGGGGGGGGGGGGGGGACTGGGGGACTGCCCTCGACAAAACACGCAAACACAAGTATTTCACTAGTATGCAAACTACAACGAAGCAGCCGCCAGCAAACTTCACAACATCTACTCCTTTTCCCTCAATCACCTTTCAGCAAAAGGAGTGAGGGACTCCTAATGGAATATATGACCCAAGGACCCTCGGTCCACATACTTCCACCACTACAATCAAACCCAACAGATCTAAATGGGCCAAGCCTAACAAATAAGTCTCCAGGCAGCCCATAAACACGCAAGGTGTGCCTTCGGCCCCACAGTCGAAGGCTTTGCTTTCATGAAACCGAGTCCAGAAACATCACATGAGAACAAGGCTTGAAAAACAAGCCTTCGGCTGCTACAGCCTTCGGGTCATAATGACCCCCTGACATTTAGAGCCTTCGGGCCCAGTGGGTTCAGCCGAAGATACTCCCCTAAACATGATCTCCTCTCCACATGCGTTTAATCACCGCATCAAGTTCAACGTCACGTCCAATCACCGCATTTAATGCGGTGCACATGCAGATGCCGATGCCACCCCAGTTTATGTGACCCTCGGCCGTCAGATGCTTGACACATGTCCTCTCGATTACTGGCTTAACATTTATGGCTGCTATAAACAGCAACCCATTTTCCGTTGTAACACACAACATTCTATATTCGAATACATACTCTCTCTCTTACTTATTGCTCTAACTTCTCTCTAAGTTATTCCCCGTAATAATCCATCGGATAAGCTACCCCCCAGTACACTTTCCATCATGGAGAAACGAAGATTGGAAAACACATTTACATGTTATTCTCCAAAATTGAAAGGTAGAGACACATTTCGGATTTTCTTCTTAAGTTGTTGAACTCACTATCTCATGTTTTCTAAAATGAAAATATGCATCGTCACACTGCATCTTGTGTTTGTTTCATGCTCGAGTATCTGATTGGGGTAACTTTTTTAATCTACATATTTTTTCGATATCTATGCAACGGCGTATGTTGAATAATGCGTAATATATTTTATTTATTAAATTAGGAAAATTAATTTTCACATTTTGTCAATCTAATTTTGTACCATCGTATACTTTTTCACCGCTCTACAAAAGTAAATAATAGTTTAGTTTGTTTAGCACACTTTCGCAATATGTGTGACCAAAACTTTGTAACCATTATTACCAAATGAAGGTAGGATATTACATTGGATTTTCATTGTAAAATTATGACATACGCCTCAACTTCTCGAAGGGGACAATTATTGGATCAAGGAATATTTGAAGTAGTGACTTAGATTTCCTCATTAAGTTAAGAATGTTAATACTCATTTCGTCTTTAAAAACTCAATAACATTACATAATTAAATTGGGAGAGTATTTTTTCTTCTAGGGTAAATTCACGCGCGACCGTACCCAACCGTTAGAGCAGAACCGTCTAATGAATTTGGGGATCCCGGTTCCAAATGACGAAATGATTCCCCCTAAAACAAGAAAAAACATCAAATTTAACAATGAAATGCAAATAGACTAGATAGTTCAATGAAATATATGTCTTGTGATGTTTAAAGTACACAAATTAGGTAATCTAAAAGTTAAATACCTTTTGGAATCTTGTATAATACACAACATCTAGAAAAATCAACCTAAAAATCTATAACTAATACTACATACTGAATTTATGGAGGCTCTCTACAAGAGTGGATTCTGGTGTCAAGCACATATTGCACTTTCTAAAAATGTCACTGCTTTAGAGAGTGGTGCAAGTGTGGGGTGTTTGATATAACAGTGTAGAAATGAGGTTATGCATTCCAAAAAGTGTAAATTTTTAGTTGGTTTCTGAAAATATGTAAAACGGAGTTGTCAGATCCGAAATCTGTCCGTGTCAGAATCATTGCAGACTACTGTCATCCCAAATTACCTTAAAAATTCGAAAATCATTTTTCTTTATTCCAATTCCAATGCTTTGATCAATTCAATGGCTAAACTCAATTAAATAAGAATGTTCCGTTATACTACCTCCGTTCCCATTTTAACTTCCAAATGGGTTTGACACAAAGTTTAAGACAGTGAATATTGTGTGGTGGAGAGTTGTGAAGAGGAGAGAGAAATGTGTAAGAAATGTTGTGAACCATAATTTCTTTACAAAAAAGGGAAAGTGGAAGTTTTAATTAGAATGGACGAAAAAGGAAAGTTGAAAGTTTATTTAGGAACAGAGGGAGTAAGGGTTTAGTGAACTATTACTGCTCTTGGTTTAAGGTATACGGTTTTTAGTTTTACACAAATGAAAGGGAAAAAATTGAAATATTTTTACTCCAAACAGAATAAAACACAGTTTCTTTTCAAAATTTGGACAAGCTGTTTTAAAATACTCTAAATATGATTTTTTATTTATGATTGGAGCAAAATATATGTGCGCCACCAGAATCCGCGTTTGCAGCCATGGACTGATTCCACCACCAACGGACTGATTTTGTTATACTAGGGAACCAAGCACAATTAATATGGTTAATAAATTACTTAATTAAATTAGGTCTATAAATGGAATGATTAGTCTCTCCTATCAAGGGGAACCAAACATATAACCTAGTCAGTTCTTTATTTTATTAATAAAATATATTTTAAATATAATGTTTTGCATAAATCACCAGAATCAATCAATACAATCACTTCAGTCAGAATTTCATAAATTTTTACCAGAATCAGCCGATTTCGATGTTGCCAAACGGGTTGTTTGTTTTACTCTTAGTTTAGACAACATTCTCCATTGTAAACTATTTGACTACAAATATGAACCAACTAAAATAATACTTGCATATATTCAAATATAGTACTTATAGGTCTAGCTCGAACGAGAAATCAATCTAACCGAGTGAATATGAATTACTTGACATGTAGTCTATTTTATCGAGTAAAGTGGATGTTTTTAATTATGAAAATGTAATCTCATATTTATCAACTGTAAATCGCAATAAAGAAATTTATTATTATTTTTTGAAAGAAACAAATTTATTATTTTAAAAAACAATAAAAGTAAAATTGTGTGATTGATATTGGGTTGATAAAGTGTGAATAAAGTAAGAATGAATTTTAATCACTCAAATATTATCAAGTATGATATGAAACAAACTTAATGGGACGGACGAAAAAGGTAAAATGAGACAAAGTTAGGGAGAGCAAAAAAAAAGATGAGACAATTTTAACCGGACCGAAGAAGTACTCCGGTACTTAATACTCCCTCCGTATCACTTTTATTGTCACAGTAGGCTTTTGTAATAGTTTAAGAAAATTTATAGGTTTACTGTACATTTTTTGAAAAAGTATGAGTTTTTTTTGTACTGTAGCAGCGCTGTAGCAGTGTTTTTTGAGTGAATTTATTTGCTAAAAGGAAAAGTGGGACAATTTATTTGATACATCCCAAAAGGGAAAGTGTGACAATAAAAATGATGTGGAGGAATATTTACCGAAAAATCCCTAAAATAAGTGGCCAAAGGTTTAAACAAATACTGAAACAAGATCTACTAGCCAACATTGTTCGAATGTCAAACACTCCTTACCGGGTAGATGTCCTCCGTTTTACACTTTTTTGTCCAAGAAATGGAATCTACACTTTTTTGAAACACTTGTTTAAAACATACACTTCTTTGTCATTTTCTCGCAAGTGTGGCGGGTGGAAATAAGAAGAAAAAAACTAGACTAAGTTAGTCAGCTAAATAATGTGACAATGAATTAATTGTTCCAAAAGGTGGAATCTCCCACCCCAGGAGCCCCCCACCCTGACCCGACAGAATGGTGGGTAGGTTAGTCACGGTGACTCAGTCAGCAAAATGGTAGTAGATCCATACACCCGTGCGCACCAGAGGCCCAGCCTTATTTCAGGTTCTGTGACCTCCACCCGGTCGCTACGGGGATTCGAACCTTGGTCCATTGTTCCAAATCTCCTACCACTCGACCAATTGAGCTACCAGTACGGGTATGTGACAATGAATTAATAATGACACGTAAGGAACGTGAGAACAAAATTGAACATGGAGATGAATTGTGTCCTTATGGAATCCAAAAGGGTGTAGATAGGTATCAACTTGGTTTGACTGTAAATGGTATTTGTGTAATGATAATCCTATTTTGTAGCATATCTATCGGTTTTATTAGAATTGTGCTGCTCACAACTTGGCCTAATATTTCTATGTTGGCTGTCAATCTTGGTTTTGGTTTCTTCTCAATTATATTATCAATGCACTAAACTATGATATGATTAATAATAGTTGATTCTATATCTTTCGGAAAAATTATTTTCAAACGAATAAGAAAATTTCAAGGAGACGCATGTGTCTTCTTATGAATTCATGACACGGTATTAACTACTCATTTTTTTGATAGGTTTGGTTTAAAAGAATGAATGATTAATGTTGTGTCAATACGCTTGACTTCATGAAATTATCAAAAAATTTAAGGAGATCTATATGACTCCCTTATAAATTCCTAAAAGATATCGTGATAGAATCATCACTATCCATTTGTAGTGAGTTCCCACACGACAAAATGTGTGGTAATACAACACTATTGCATGTGACAACCGTCTCATCAAGATCTTTCCTTTTTTCGGTTTTCCCAAAAAACTTTCATTTTTCTATTAAAGTAACTTTTTTATATTTCTACTCATTTCTCTCTCATCTGGACAAATTTCAACCATACAATTTTTATTTTTCTTATTTCTCACCTAACTAAAGGAGTGCAAAGTCCATTCGGAGTAATATAAATCAACTCATAAAACTACTCGGTAGTCGTGGTACACATAACTATATACGGTAGTATTCATTATTTTTTTTTTTTTTTTGCAAAACGGTAGTATTCATTATTTTGTACAGAACATTTCAAGGAGAGATAAATTCTTCCAATTAATGAGACAACCAATCCGACCTGTTCTTGACCGGAAGAAAAACAACCCCATGGGACCCATCATCATCAACGCGCCACCCACCCAAATCAATGACCCTTCCTCCCTTCCTTCATTCGTTACCCGCAAACAACCGGTCTGGGTGAAGGGATTCGAATGCAGCTCAGGCTGCTTCCTTGCGCTCCCGAACACTCCGGCGGCGGCCTCTGCAATTGCCTTCCCGGAATGCAATTCAGTGAGAAGTCAAACCCCACATTCCTTACAGGAAGCCTCTCACAATCTTGACTCAGCCCAGAGAAGAAATTGTACGATATCGTCAAATTCATCAGTCTCTTCAGTGAGCAAACTATGTCTGTCAACTCCCCAGAGAATCTGTTGTTTGCCAAATTGAGAACCTCAATCCCACTCAGGCATGACATGGTGTCTGGCAAATGGCCCGTCAGCCCATTTGAGCTCACATCAAGAACTTCCAGATCTGTCCACAGCCCAACCCCTTCAGGGATGCAACCTGTCAGCTGGTTGTTCAGGAACAGAATCTCCTTCACCCCCATGTACCCTAGACTGAAGGGTATGCTGCCAGAAACCCTGTTATTGGCCAAATTGATGACAGAAGCTGGAGAATTCCCCAGATTTTGAGGAATTTCTCCAGTGAACTGATTGTTATTGAGAAAAACCGCATCCAGCTTCTTGTTGAACACGTCCTCAGGAATGGGTCCGGAGAAAGAATTGAACCTGAGGTCTAAATAGATGAGGTTTGGGATGAGGAGGACACTGGAGGGAAATGGGCCTGAGAACTGGTTGTTGCTCAGGTCAAGCTCGGTCAACGAAGCAAGATTTCTGAAGGTTTCTGGGATTGTGCCTGAGAATCTGTTGGTGTTGAGGTGGAGGAGGGAGAGGTCTGTTAGCATAGACAGCTCTTTTACAAGAAATCCCTTGAGGTTGGCATGGTTGAGATCTATACCTGCAACAACTTGCTTTGGGTAGCTGCCCATGGAGTCTTCTTCAGAATCTGAGCAGAAAACCCCTTTGTATGAACATACATTTGCGCCAACCCAAGAACTCGTAATAATCCCTAATGGGTCCTCAGAAATGGCAGATTTCCATGCTTGGAGTGCTGTGTAAGCACTCTGCAGCCCTGAAGATCCTGTTGGAGGACCTGGGCTGTTGATCCCGCCACCAACCCAAACACCGCCACCGCCGCCGCCTATTCCGAATCCAACTCCAGCCCCACCGCCAGCACCAACAGTCATTGCAGCCTCAATAATGGCAATGCCATGAAGTAGAAAAACGGAGATGATCCAGATTGTAGCCATTTTTTTCATGAACTGTCTTGGATTCTGCTACTTAGTTTAGAGGACTTCCTTTTGCAAGGGTGTAGTCCGTGTAGATATGTGGTTGCTGCATTGAATCATTGATGATGGGTTGGGCCGGAGAAGTAATGGCATAATGGGTCGTGTAAATAAATGCCTTTCTTTGATGAATCAAAAAAAACTTCACTGTACGTAAAAGTATAATATAACTGACCAACCCAAGTCCAAAACTAGACAGACTCATTCACACATGAACTATTGTCCTCACTTAGGACACGTAGGAAATTTGGTTTGATAAAGCGTCTCGCATTTTTAGGATAAATTACACCATTCAACCGGTTGTAACGTGTGATTGGTACAGTCAGATATTTTTGCAATTAAATCTACATAAATGTTAAAGCTACTCATTTTGTACCTCATTTTGTACTCACCCTATGTTTGTGACTCACAAAAGCACTTCGTTAAAATGGAAGCCGTTTCCAACATCAAACACAACACACTGTTTGCCCGTATGACATTATTCAAGAGGCCGGCGAAGTCCAGAAAGGCATACCCATCATACTCACTCCGGTCAAAATCAAAGACGGCGGCTTGGTCCTGCTCTCCACCGATCTAAACATCAGATCCTTCACTGCAACAATCTGTGCCATGGAGGTAGTGCGGAAAATTGACACTTGCGATGAGTCCTCGAAGAAGAATTTCGTGAAGACTGGTGCAACTAAAAGAAATCCAAGCAACTAGACTTTAGTGACAGCCTCCACGGGTGTAAACAATTCCAAAGATGTCTTTCAAACAATTGTTTTCGCTACGCATACGATGAACTTTTGTTCATCTTAGCAGTTAGCAGTAGGGAAAGGATGGTTCTTCCTCTAGTAGATTCTAATCCTAATTATATTACCCCCTCCGGTCCTAAATAAAGTTCAGTGTTTGACTTCACACAAATTAAGGAAATAAATTTGACTTTACTGTAGAGTACATAGTTGTGACACTGTTTGGCACTGTAACACCGTCTCCAAGTGTATTTACTTTTTAGTAAATAATGTAATAAACCTTGAAGGATGATTTATGAATTTACGTGATTGTAAATTTTTGTTAGTACTTTTGCGTGAATAGTAAATTGCATGCGGGGCCCACACCGGGAACGGGGGCCATCCGATATTTTTGAGGCCTCATATTATATTCATCTTGGTCTAGATAATATGTATATGGTGGTGGATATCCTATTCGGGTCGTAACAAAGGCATAGAGTTGACCGATTGGTGAAACGAGGCTTAACTATCAGTGTTGACAATTTATCAGATAACAGTCCGGAAATGAATTTTGAGGACTTTTAAATTAAATTTGGGAAATTCATATTCATTCTAAGGTCCATATGGATCGAGGACATGTGATATATTTTATTTGAGCCGATAAAATAAAATATAATTAAAACAGTCTGGAAAATACAACTTTCGGGGCCGATTGTACACATCGGGACACAAAGGGATGACCTTCCACATAATTGGGGGCCACCCCACGATTTTAGCTTTGAAATTGGCAAGGGGATCAACAACCAAACCCACCAGCTCGAATTGGACATCATCCAAGGTGAGAGAAGCTCTGCAAATCATCATCTTCTTCACTCATTTTCGAACCAAGCTCAAAGGAGGTCCAATAAGGAAGCTTAAGGAGGAAAAAGGGAGGAAAGAGTGTGGTGGATTAAGGTAATGACCTTATAACAACTTTTTCTTTATTCTCTATCTACCATATGGCATATATATCATATGAAGGACCTCTAGGATTGTTCTACATGTTTAGAAGTGTAGAATGAGGGGTTGGAAGGTAGTTTTAAGTCCAAAAATGGACCTAGAGGCTAAAGAGACCGGTTCGCCGAAAAATAACCTTTTAGAGGTTATTTGTGTTAATATGAGTTTTATAATTGATAGAGTATATAGACTCGGACCCCCGGGTCTCACGACTATCGGGCTCGTACAGCGGCCCACGTACACTCAGCTGATAACATTTTCATTATTGTACATTATTATTATTCAGGTGTTCTAGATTAGTCTTTTATATTATCAGTCCATTTATGTAACCGGCTCTGTCAGGCCCATATTAGAGGCCCAGACCCGGATTTCTTCTATATATACTCCTTTTGGAGCTTGTAAACCCTAACTCTAAAAGTCTCAATACCACTATTCATTCATCTTCTCCACATTCCTGAGCTCAAATCTCTCCATTTATTATATAGTTTGGATCCCTATAATCCACCAATGGTACTTTCATTGAGAGATTAGAGCACAATCAAGTGAAAAACCCTCCCAAAAATGTCACAAATTCATCCAAAATACAAAACAATCAATCAAAATCGATCTGAAAAAAAAAAGAAAAAGCAAAGAATGATAAAAAAAAATTGGAGTTTGGGATTTGCGGATTTCCCAGAGCTAAGTCGGAGACCCATTCTCGTTGCCACCACCCGCCATGGCCGGAGAAGCTACCCACCAATTCCCAGGTCTAAGCCGAAGCTGTCGTGCGCCACCCGCTGCAGTTCACTGCATATAGCACCCACTGGCCTCCCCTCTGGTCGTCTTCGTGGCTCGACGGTTGGAGCCAGAACCGGACTGGAGAATGGACCTTCAAGTACCCGCCATTAATGGAGGCCAAGAGATCCAAAAGTAACAGATGGGATTTGGGAATAAAAACACGAGAGCTCTTCGCCGGAAAGATCTCGCCGCCCTGGTCGCCGCCGCACGCCAACGACTGCTCAAAACTTTGCGACATCATGACCGGAGGTCTGCCCTTCCCAACGACTGCCTTCCAGCGCCGCCGCTATCCTGTCGGTGCTCGCCGTCCATGAGCATGGTCGCTCGTCAATCAGTTGCCTCGCAGAACCGCTCCCCTGGGATTAGCCGCAGTAGCACTAGCAGCCCGCTACTCTCTTGGTCGCAGGTGACTTGTCCACACTTGCTAGATGTGAAAGGCTGCAGGAGCTAGGTAAAAATGGGTCAGTGAGCCAAAGGTCTGATTTTTGAGCTAAGTACCCAATATCTGCCCTCAATTGACAACTCACAATATTCTGGCCCAAATATGAGCTTAGTACCCAAGCAATCTAATACACCTATTTATACACTAAATGTTTATTAAATGATAATAGTATAATTATTACTATTATTAATTATATTATTTCCACCACCATTATGGCGGGTTAAAAACCCCCGAGGTGGTGAAGACCATTATAACGGATTAAAATTTCCCGAGGTCGCTAATGATGCATCATTATTGGCGTTATTATTTTTATCACCGCCGTTAAACCGGGTTAAAAAAATCCCCAAAGTGGTGGACCCAAGCTCTAGTATACCGAACATCTTTATTTGATGATTCGGATTATATTTAGGTCCCTTGACTTACCCTAACCACCTTTATTTGGTGATTCGGGCATCTAGAATTGAGAGCCGCTATCGGCCGCTATCGGCCGCACACGACATTATTATGCTTAAGAGCGGTAAACGGTACACCTCAGTCTAAGATACCGCACATTACACCGACCCATCAGAGTGAAAATGCTCAGGAAAGGTCGACAGAGCACATCGATCCGGCCCCTCAGAGCGAAAATGCTCAGGAAAGGCCGACGGTGTCCCCAGGACGAAGGGCCCGTAAAGAACCCACGTCTTGAAATGGGAAGCTCACAGGGGCACTACGGAGAGGCCGCTTCGGCCAGGGACTCAAGCAACTCTTTCACCCCTCTTACTCTTCGGCCTGAAGCAGTGGGGGACTGGGGGACTACATCGGCCTCAACAATACAGACAAAGGAAAAATGCAAAGAACACAAATGTAACCACAAAGCATGGCCACATCGTCCATGTATCACAACGGCGCCAAGGTTTTCGTGACTCCATCTCCGGCCAGGGACTTTGGACAACACGGCGCCTCGTCGGCCAAAGGCACATAACACCATCAGCAACGGGCAACAGGCCACCTAAGGCAAGGACATTCATCGTCCTCCGCCAACAGTTAATCATAATGGGCTCTTCGTCCAAGAACACGAAAGCCAATCAGCGACGGCCAAAAGGAGTGCGCAAACACCCTCATCGGCCACCCAAAGGAAAGGACGCCCATCGTCCTCGAAGCAAGGTTCAACCTCAACGGCCTCATCGGCCCAAATGTAAATCTCAACCATCAACGTCCAAGAAAGGGAAAACGCGCCTTCAACGGCCACCATCGAAGCAGGACACTCATCGTCCCCAAACGAACACACCAAGGAAACAACGGCCTCCCCGTCCACAGCGAGGAGCAGGTAACGGCCAAGGACAGAACAAGATCACCAAAATGGAAACAGCGCCAACGCCGCAACAGCTAACGGCCCGGGAGTGCCCGCATCGGCCAAAAGCACCAAAGCACGGGAATCTACTCTCCTTCACTTCGTCTACGTCTCAGCTTAGAGAGTGGGGGACTCCTGATGGAGTATATGGGTCTGAGCCCCAGGACCCACATACTCAGAAGAACAGAAAGCACAAGACACTGAGTGGTGCCCTCGTCGGTCAAGGGACCCCCGTCGGCCGAAAAGGTACCAACTCAGAATATGGTCCTGAAGCCAAGGAACCCGGGTGCCCTCGTCGGTCGTGCCCTCATCGGCCGTGCCCTCGTCGGCCACGCCCTCGTCGGCCACGCCCTCGTCGGCCACGAAGACCCACATAACCGGATTTTACACTTACTCATTTGTACAGCCCATTAGTGGCATTGTATTCGGCCCAGTAGCGGTCCAGTTGTAAATGGGCCTCCCAAGCCCAAGGCTTGGGAGCCCAGCCCGTATTTTCCCTATAAATACTTCCTCTAGAGGTAGTTATCAGGGTTACAAAATCATTCTATTGAAGCATATTATTGCACTTCTCTCTCTAGCTCTCACTTCTCTCTAGATATACTCTATCACTCATCATTTATCCTCAGTTCACTGTGAACAACTCATTATCTTAAAGAGCTAAAATTGAGCTCAGTCCATTCCCTTCATTAAGTGTTCCTTCAATTACGATTGATCTAAAGTATTTAATCTCACTCTCTATTCAACCAACTAAAAACACCCTATTGATAAGCCGGTTGATATTTACTTCATCAGACTGTTGTTTCAACCATCTCTCCACCAAACACAAATGGTCATTACCTCTGTTGCTATAAAGTGACATACTATATGAGATCAAGACTTCCCCTGCCGGTTTTAATTTAATGTCTCTCAAAAGACTTTGGAACTCACTCCATTAGAGTGGAAGCCTTGAAAAAGTAAAAGGATTCAAAAAGTCTATTCACCCCCTCTGGACTTTTATCTCACTAGGGACTATCATAAATCTGTCACCCACTAGCTCGTTCGGTGTTTCCATGTCCACATGATCAGTGGTGTGGCTCGAATGCTCATGCACATATCTCCCCTGCATCGACATCTTGAACCCTTGAACCAAAGCTTATAGAGCGTGTGTGGCTTCCTGGAGGGCCTGCACCCCAACATGAAGCTAGGTCAAGTCGTGCGCATAGCACAATGTGGCTCACCTCCGAGCCAATCACGGGTGAATCGCCTGTTACGACTGCGGTCTAGGGTACCCCTTAGGTCTCAAGGTTTTAACAGTTCATTTTGGAGATCTCATGTCGTCGTCATCACCTGGTCTGGTCTCGTCTGTTAAATGTCTTGTTTGTATGTATTTTAAAATGTCAAAGTCTTGTCTGGTCTGATATGATCTATCTAAATCTGGTTTTGTTTGCAATTGAAATAAATCCAAGTAAAAACATTCTAAGATGTCATCAACATAAAAAACAAGTATGGCAAGATTGGTCGCACTCATTTTCAGGTAGATACACTAATCCACTTAAATTTCATAGAATCTTAGGTACTAGTGTACCACTAGCGTGATGCGTGATTTAGCCCATATAGTGACTTCTTAAGAACACACCACTAGTGTTCTTGACCAACTTTACAACCTTCTGATTGGATCACGTACACATCATCATGTAAATTACCATTTAAAAAAGCGATTTTACCGCCCATTTAATGTTACTCTAAATGAAAATGAGTTATTAGGGACATAACAATTCTTAGCGAATCTTTTCCTAAAACATCAGAGAAATCTCCTTTTGAGATATACGTAGTACTATCCTCCGTTCTTTAATTCTTGCAACACTTTGACTCAGGGGCGGATCTAGCATCGACGTTCAGCAGGGGCCAAATTTAATTGAAGTGTTAAAATATAGTATTCCTTTAAATAATTACTTACGTTCTTAAATAAATGCAACATGTTGAATTTTACACTATTCATATACTACCTCCGTCCCTTATAACTTTGCCAAAGTTGACCGGCACAGAGAATAATAAAGTAAAAACTGTGTGGTAGAGGTTTGTGCAGAGGAGAGAGAAATAACAGAAACCACAAAATAATTGATTAAAAGCGAAAATGGCAAAGTTTTTTGGGACGTCCCAAAAAGGAAAGATGGTGAAGTTTTAAGGGACGGAGGGAGTATTATATTTTGATTACACTTTATTTTTTAATGAATTAATAACTTTTTTGAAAATATTGTTCAACTTGTCTAATTGTAAATTTTCAAAATCTTATTTTTATTTTTTACTAATAACGAATAATATATGAAGTATATTACTGGTTAAAGTTGTACATCAACAAATGTGACAAGTAGACTGTTGCATTTACTTAAGAACAAATGTAGTGTATATTTAATAAAACTTATTTTCATGTGTAAAATAACATATGTTACAACATAAATCTCTAAGACAAAAATAAATATTATGAGAATAAGTTTTTTTGTCAAAATCAATTACATAACCACCTTAAACCCATAATTATTGGACTTATTTTCACCTCCAAACCCAATGAGTTGAAGATATGCTCTCCATTGCAAAATGAAAAATGTTGTGATTGAGAATGAACCCAAGATCTTCATGATACTACGCCTTGGCATAGACATGATCTATGCCCATCTCACCATCTTCATATTTGTTAACCTCTTGACTGTTATTATTTTTATACCATTTCTACACAGCATTAAATATATTAAAATACATATATATACATACTAATTTTTTTATTTTTTTGGAGCATGGGACTAGGCCCTCCCTGGCCCATAGCTAGATCCACCCCTGCTTTGCCTTTCACGTTTGCCAACACACAACTTTGATTGTAATTATATTTAATTATGTATTAGTAAACATTATAAAAAGTTGATATTTTGAAAATTCACATTGATAAGAATTCAATAACATTTCATATGAAATAATTTGATTATTTATATTAGTAGAAAATCACGATCAAAATAAGATATGTGAACAATGCAAAAGTCATAATGTAGCTAGAATTGAAGAACGGACGAAAGTATAACTATGTCGGTATGTCACAACCGCACGGGTAGCTCAGTTGGTCGAGTGGTGGGAGATTTGGATCAATGAACCAAGGTTCGAATCCCCGCAGCGACCGGGTGGAGGTCACAGAACCTGAAATAAGGCTGGGCCTCTGATGCGCACGGGTGTATGAGCCTACTGCCATTTCGCTGACTGAGTCACCATGACTAACCTCCCCACCATCTTGTCGGGTCGGGATGAGGCTCCTGGTGTGGGAGATTCCACCTTTTTAATCGATGAAAAAGCTTAACAAAAGAGTGAAGCTACGATGATAAATTGGACTGATTCCACTATTCCTCGCATTTAAGATTCCCATATCTCTTCCCAAAAGTCCTAGAGGGGTAAATCTAAAAGGTGATCTTCTAGGATCGAGCAAGCAGCAATCACAATTAAAAAAACTTAACAATAACTAAAATCTAATCTAATAATACTACAGAACTGTCATCAATGTCTCATACAACACAGCAAAGAAAACCGTCCTGGACGCGCCACATCATCCGCCTATGAATTACGTGTACACGTGTCATCACCGATGCGCTCCAACTTTCTTAGCCCGACTTAATGGAGATGTCAGTTTTGGCCACTTCTCTTTATTTTGTCGTATTATTACCCTTTTCCACTCATTTCCGGAGTATGTACTATGCCTATAAAAATATACGGAGTACTCTCTATCCCTAAAAGAACTTTTAATTTTATCTTTTCGTTCGTTCCAAAAAAAAATTCATTTTCTTTTCTTGACAAAATATTTGTGGTTCACAACAACTCTTACATATTCTTACACATTTATTTTTACTCTACACGACTCTTCATCACATAATACCTATCTTCTTAATTCGCGTGCTATTTGTACTATAGAAATTTTTTTAGGGACGGAGCGAGTATTACCCCACCCATTCCCTATTATATTTGTCTGGATTGTTATAAAACATTAGATACGTTATTTAAAAAGAAATACGTGAATTACTGTATTTCACTTTACTACTCCCTCCGTTCCTAAATAAACTTCCAACTTTCCTTTTTCGTTCGTTCCAATTAAAACTTCCACTTTCCCTTTTTGATAAAGAATTTGTGGTTCACAACATTTTTTACACATTTCTCTCTCCTCTACACAACTCTCCGCCACACAATATCCACTATCTTAAACTTTGTGTCAAATAAATGTGGAAGTTAAAATGGGAACGGAGGTAGTATTTAAATTTCAATTACTCCCCCCGCCCCCAAATTATCTTCATTCTTTTCTTTTCGACCCGTCCCAAATTTATCTTCTCTTTCCTTTTTGATAAAGAATATGTGGTTCACAATCATTCTTACACATTTCTCTCTCCTCTGCACAACTCTCCACCACACAAATCTCACTATCTTAATCCCCGTGCCCAGTCAAAACCAAAATTAATTATGGGACGGAGGAAGTACGTTTTTTCAATCACTTTATTAATAATGTATCAAATCGAAGTAGTACTTCGAGCCCTGTCAACTTTAAATTGAATGTGAAATTAAAAAATTTCTAAATGTAGGTGTTATTAAGATTTGTACAGATTACAGAGAAATAAACAAAATCATATGTGCATTGTTTTATACGACAAGTAATAATTTTTTTAAAACAAATTAAAAAGAAAAATGAACAAAATCAAAGAGGGAATATTTCATATCTTATTACACTATCGAATAATTCTTTCGTCTCATTGGACTTTGCCAATTTTACCTTTTTGATTGTCTCAAAAAATTTTGTCATTTTCCTATTAAAGTAATTACTTTGTAATTCTACACATTTCTTTCTTCGACACAAATCTCAACGACACAATTTTTACTATTTTTATTTCTCATCTACTTTGTATTTGAAAAAGTTCATTGGGATGGAGGTAGTATTAAAGTCAAAAAGATTAAAACCCGAGTGGAAAACCCGAAAGTAAGTAAAAAAAGAATAGAGTAAGGATGTAAAAACTAAAAAGTCTACAATAAGTCGCGAGTAGTTGTGAAAAATGTTAAAGTGAAAATGGGAAATGATTATTTTAAACTTTAACTATAGTAGAAATGGCGAAATGACTTAAAACCCTGATTATGTGGTCTCCGAAATTCGAACCATGGTTAAAGCCCACTCCTCCACAGCAGTTTATATACCAACTGATCATCACCATCTCGAACACAGCCAAAACCATATCCAAAACAGAGAAAGAAAATGATGATCGGACAGCGAAACCTTCAAAATCCGACCGTGCATGTCCCTCCATGGCTCTCCAATGATCAGATGGATAATCTGCGCTGTGGTTTCAGCCCAGACGGAACCGACGACTTTTCGCCGTTTCTCCAGAACGACGCCGTCGTCCTGAAGGCGCTACAGCGTTTCCTGCCGTCGAACTCCAGCGACGGCATCGTCGATTTCAACTCCGACAGCGAGAAGGACGTCGAGTTTCCGTTGGACGCGTTCGCATACGATAGCTTCCGGATGTACGATTTCAAGGTCAGTAAATGCTCACGTGCGCGCCCACATGACTGGACCGAGTGTCCGTTCGCCCATCCCGGCGAGAAGGCTCGCCGGAGAGACCCCCGGAGGTACCGCTACACCGGAACGGCGTGTCCTGAGTTCCGTAAAGGGAACTGCCGGAAGGGCGACCTCTGCGAGTTCGCGCACGGGGTTTTCGAGTGCTGGCTCCACCCTTCTCGCTACCGGACACAGCCGTGCAAGGACGGGCTTCTCTGCCAGCGACGGGTGTGCTTCTTCGCTCACTCGCCGGAGCAGCTCCGGATTCTCAGCCCCCGGGGGGAGGCGTACGACGGATCGCCTCGGAAGTACGGATTCGACGGATCTGGCGGTAGACATCTGCATTTCCTTCCGCCCTCTGACTCCGGCTCACCCCCGTCCGAGTCACCGCCTCTGTCTCCGGTCAACGCAGCGAGTTCTGGGCACTCGCTGAGTCGATCTCCGATCAACGACGTGATGGCCTCTCTGCGTCAGATGCAGCTCAACAAAGTCAAGTCGATGCCGTCCTCGTGGGGCGTGCAAATGGGTTCCTCCCCTGTTCTCGGATCCCCGAGGCTGCACATACCCGGATCTGGATTCGGCAGCTTACCCAACACGCCGACCCGAAGATCCGGAGTCTGCCACTTCGAGCTGTGGGATGAAGGTTCGGGTCTCGAGGAGTACCCAATGGAGAGGGTCGAGTCCGGGAGAGATTTGCGGGCTAAAATGTTCGAGAAGTTGAGCAAGGAGAACCCATTGGACGGGTCGGAAGCTATTCCAAACCCGAAACCAAATGATCGAGGCCCGGATATCGGATGGGTTTCGGATCTTATCCAGTGAATCATCATGACCTTTGACTATCCGACTGACTATATCATCATTGCTTATGATTATAATTATATCTTTATTTGTGGGGTAAGTGGGTTTTGGTCTTTTTCTCAACACTTTGTAGTTATCCTCACTGTATGTAAATAGTACTAGTATTTTTATGTTAATTTTAAAATAAGAAAATGTAAAGCCGTTGTATGAACGGTGGAGATTTTGTACATAAAAAAGCAGGAGGACGAAAGCGTAAAATCACATGTTGTGGTTTGATATGGAACTAGGCAGCTAGCAGGAAACTGGGTTTTCACGCATCTGTTTTTGGGGTAGTTTCTAGGTTTTCTTTTCATATCAGTGATAACTACCATTATTACTATTTTTGTAATATTATTATAAGTGAAATTATTATTACTAGTTTTTTATTGTGCAAATCCGTACAGTTTTTTGCTTCTTGCCCGATTTGTTAACTTATAGTGCTTGGATAGATGTATGCTTCTGGAACTATGAATGGATTGAACGTACAAGTGGTACAAGCATTATTTATGACACATTACAATAGGTAAAGCTGTAAATTACTTCTACCTCTATTTCATACGAGTAATAATCAATTTTTTGTTTATTTGATACTTCCTCCTTTCTTTTTAACATGGATCGTCATTATATTCAGTATATTTTAATTATATTTCAAAAATTTAATTCACATATTTTAATAAATAAAATGTAATCAAAATTGAGTACATGAATAGTGTATTAATTCACATATTTTTATAAATAAAATGTGATCAAAATTGAGTACATGAATAATTGAACAGTGTACTAATTCCAATGTTGCAAACTATTAATCTGTATATTTCTTTAAACTGTCTTCACATTTAAAGGGACGAAATATTACCCAAAGATCAAGGAAAAGTTCATAGTTTAGATGGTAGGATTAGGCAAGAGTTCATAGTTTAGATTTGTGGGTCCGTGGTTTCTGGTAATTTTTTCATTTAATAAATCTTGTTGATTTTAGAACGAGTGTCAAATTAATCTGATAAATGCTACCTTAAATAATTAATACCACAAATGATTACTGAATATTTTTGAGAATTAATTAGTAATTTCCTCTTTGATAAAAATGTAATATTATTGCTAATTTTGTAATATTATTGTTGTTGTTTAAGTTGTACTCCGTAGAACTCCGTACACTTTTTTGCTTATTGCCCGATTTGTTATCGTTTAGTGCTTGGATAGTTGTGTGCTTTTGGGACTGGATTGATTGACGTACACCCATTATTTATGGCACATTAAATTATGTAAATTATCTACCGACTATGTTATTACTGTGTACGGGTGATGATCCTTATCTTCTTTTTTGGTTTGTTCTAGAGGTACACTCGTCTAATTTGTGGTTCTCATTCTTTTAATTACCAGAAAGACTTTAATCCCATGTCCTCTCAAAAGATGAAACTGTAACGAAAGCAAGGATTTTTTGCTTGATTTTCGAGTCTATCAGTTCAGTATTTAACACCAAACATTTTTTGGGAGTGGAAGGTCATTAGCTAAAGATTTAGAATTGATTTTTGCAAATCCATTTTTATGTAAAGTCGGTTTTTGCATTAACAAAACTTTTTTGCTGCCCTAATAATTTGACTTGCCTTAATACATGTGACCGGATGCAGCTGTTGTGGTTTAATCCCGAATGACCCGAAGATTCAACACCAATCTTGGATCTTGGGTTAAGTTGTTACAATAATGTGTATAAAAGGAAATATAAAATCTGATTTAACTATCTAAATAACTCAACTTGTATTAATATGATAACAATGATTACACAGAAATGACCGAATGGTAATTGTGATTCAAAGACTAATACGAGAGCTGCGATACAATATAATTTTGTGAGTTAATGAAATCCAACCCTTTACAATGATTTAACAACTGTTATTTATACTAAATGGAAACATGAAGCACCCTTATATGATTGGTTGCTTTCCAAGTCACTTGAGATTCCCATGATCCACCATTAACTGCAATCAGTTACATCTCGTTCGGGTGGTGCCGAACGAGCCTTGCCTTTAAGCAGACCGTTGGGTCTGAACGGTTTCTTCTGGACTGTCCTTTTATTTCGGGCCTTAAGAATGAGCCGAACTCCCATTCAGGATCTATGACCTCTGGGCTTTCCCTGGTGCCTGGGCTTTTAAGGATATTTTGGGCCGTCATATTGGGCCGGACCTCAATATCCTATCACAAGTCCCCCACTCCCTTATGTTCCGAGCGTGCTTGGGATATAAAGAAGTACAACAATCTTTCCGCCATTCAGGGTAACCCGTGCGGGGCCTCATACTGGTGTGCCTGCTCTTGATGTGACGGTTCAAGCTTCTTTGACGGCAGTTGCTTATGTTCCCCATAAAATCGTCTTGATTACCCATCGTTTCGCCTCTGTTCGACACATGTCCTCTGAAATGTTTCTCGCTACGTGCCTCCCTGAGATTGGTCCGCGATTCGGTGCCTCTTAATATAAAGGTGGTTTTTGGGGCCTTTACCCTAGGGTTTCCGAATTCTTTATCTTCGTTCAAGCAATCTGCCTTCTTCCCAAATCCCTAATTTTGTTCTTCGCTCAGGTAATCGTCGGTCCTCTATCTTTCTTTATATTTCTGTTTTTTGTTTCGGTATAAATGTCGATGAGGTCTGGATCTTCCGAGCCTTCAATTGTTGAACCGGGTCAGGATTCGGAGACGAATGCTACTTTGGCCGATACTATGGGTACTGACGCCGTTGCAGAGAATGTTGCCGGAAATGCCACCTCTACTACTGGTTCTGAAGATGATCATTCCAGCAATTCTTCTAATGGGTCTTCAGATGAAAACTCCGATAGTGCGGCCTCTGGTGATGATATAGCAGTGATGAAGAGAGGCCCTCCGGACGTTAGCCCTCGTCATTTTTTAGACTTGAAGTCCATTAAAAAACAAAGGCAAAAACTCTCACCCAAACTCATGGCGCAGGTTCCTACCCTAATCCCTGACCTGGTTGATTTTCGTCTTCACGCAAGTCTTCATCCGTTGCGCCACCGCCCTGGAATGGTGGTGGTGCATTTCGATTCTATTAAGGCCGGGTTAAGATTCCCATTGCACCCATTCTTCGTGACCCTTCTAAATCATTATCAAGTAGTTTCGGCACAAATAATGCCGAATTCCTATCGAGTCATTGCCGGGTTTATGTGTTACTGCAAGGATGTGGATGTGGGGCCCACCTTGGATCTTTTCCACTACTTTTTCAAAATCGCTCCTCAACAAACTGACGGATTCCTGGTAGTGAGTGCGCAAACGAAAAGGATCCTTTTCAAGGGGAACCTCACCTCTATTAAAGGGTGGAAAGACCATTTTTTCTTTGTCTCTTTCCCGGACGGCCTCATCCCAAAGGGATGGAACGCCTACACCCCCAAATTCACCGAGCCTTTCATGTCGGTCGAGCTAGAAGAGAAGATTGTAGCAGTGGAAAGGGCCAGGACGCTGGATATTATGAAATATCTAACCCCTAATCAGCTTGTGGAAGCTCGGATAGGTACCGTATGTATTCCTGGTCTCCTTGACTGAACACCAAGTACCATGGTCCGGGTGGTCCTTCTTGTGCGAGAAACTTACATATCATGCTTGTTTCACACACGCTAAGACCGCTCGGTACTAACATTCTCATTTTCTTTTGTCTGCAGCTCCTAACGCTGAAGCAACAATGAATAAGAATCGCCTTGAGACGATGGGTGCTGCAAAAATGAAGAAACCCGTCCAGAAGAAAGCCAAGATTTTGGTCCCCGAAGGCACTAGGCCGACCGTTCCAATCGAGGTTCAGCAGCCTCGTCCGCTCAGACAAGTGCCCCTTGAAGACGTGAACTTTGATGCCATGGCTGTGGATCTGCCGTTCGGGGATATGTAATGCAATCACCTTTTCAATGATGTCCCGGGTTCGTTCGGGGCTGTTGATGTTGGGGCTGGACGTGCCTCTTCCTCCAAGCAAGTTGATCCAATCTCGCTGGATGATTCGATTCATGCGATAATAGAACAAGGCGGATGTCACCCTGCTCGGATTTGGAGCACTTCTGCCATGCTGAACGACTATCATCTTCTGCAACTGTCGGTCGAACAGGCCGAAACGGGGGTTGCTCTGGCCACTCTCAAGGTAACTTCCTTCTGTACGTTCCCCGCGTATCCTTTCATGTCGTTTTGAGTAAATAACCGTTTTGCTTGTAGGCTGGCTATTATAGCATTCAACTCTAGCTTGCCCGTCTGGCGAGAGAGGAGGAGCTGATCAGGGCCAAGGCGTCAGCGGAACAGGCTACTGCTGAAGTGGTTTAAGCTGCCGATCAGGAGCGGAAAAAGCTTGAGGCAGAGTTTGGCCATCTCCGGGTGGAACTGGCCACCGCCAGGTCCAAGGTCCATGCTGCTGAGGCTGTTCAGGTCGTTTTTCAAGAAAATGACCCTCAGATCCCGGACGGTCCTCGGGAAATTTCTGTGGATCTATCCGCCGTCCGGGCATCAGCACGAGATGAATTCCGATCCTCTGAGGATTTCACGAAAGCTGCTGAAGAGCATGGACTGGCTCAGGTAGGCACCCTGTTCGGGAGACGCCTAGAACAACTCCCCGCAGGCCCATCTCGTCTTGAGGTAGGGGTGAATATGACCGACGAGACTGCGGTTGGTAAAGCATGGGTTGAGGCTTTGGCCAAGACCACCTATATTGAAGGCTGCCAGCGGATCCTGGAGGGGGTGGTACCAATCCTGGAGCAATTCATCGGTCGGCCAGTTGAACCTAATGATTTTTCAAAGGACCCGGTCCTTTTGAACCAATTCCAAAAGTTCCCGCGTAATCAAAAGCGGATAGCCGATCAGGCCGCAGGTAGGGATCCCGCACCCCCAACTGATGATGAAGCTTATGATGAAGAGGATGATGAAGCCGAAGAGGAGATATACCGGCCATCATTTTATTCTAATATTTTTCATGTATTCATCCATCTTCCCTTGATACGTAGTGTATATTCCGGCCAGTAGTACCGAAGAGTAAAATATATTTTGTCTATCTGTTTCTTCTTTATTTGCCCGCTTCAATTTATATTTGACCGTTCAAGATTTTTAATGTATTTCTCTTAGATTTATCAATTTTGTACTGTCCCCAAACCTCACCAATCTCGAACAGGATCCATTTATTGTTATTTTCTATCTGGCGATAACCCATTCAAGATTGGCCGTGAGTTTCACCCGTTCTTGTAGTTATTTACCCCGTCCGGCGTTGTATTTAAGTTCATCCCGCTTACTCATACTTTGTTACCCTGTTCGGAGTATTCTGTCGTTGGTATGCAGAGGATACTCATACTTTGTTACTTGGCATATTTGTACAACTAAAATCCCGTTCATGATACTTGACCATTTGAGATCCGAACAGAATCTGATAATCCCCAATTTATCCCTCCTTTTACC